CTTTCCCTCCTTCGTTTGAGTGGACGGAGAACATCATGAAACCTGGTAGGAAGAATGAGAAACCTGTCATCTTTTCTATAGAAGCTGAAGGTATTCAACTTGCTTCCTCCCGTCGACTGAATTTGGTCGGGAAATTTCTGTATGGTCATCCCACAATGGAGCTGATTCGTAAGAAATTTCAGCTTCTGCACCTTGTTGAGAGTGAAAGATTGAACTGTTAGATGGAATATAAATTCTTATACAACTCAATAATGAAGAGAATTATACGTGATTATTTGCTAGAAGGATAATCTAGATTGATAACAGAACAATGAAGATTCTGAAATGGTCTGTGGATTTTGACCCACAGACGGAACCACCAATCATTCCGGTTTGAATTCGCCTCCCTGGTATGAAATTTTATTATTTTACTCAAAAAGTGTTGTATTCTATTTCCTCAACTTATGATAAGCCACTCAAAACGGACATTCTTACTTTTAATTTTTTCCGTCCATCTGAAGCCAAAGTACTTGTTGAAAGAGACATCACTTCATCCGCTTCTAAGGAAATTTGGTTGGGCACACAACACAATGGATAACAGCAAAAGGTAGTGATTGGATATTGGGTGCAGCCACTACTATTTGGCATAGGTAAGTAGCCATAGGAGCTTTTAATCCCAATAGAAAAGCTGGTTGAAATTCCTAATTGCAAACTTGATTTGGTTGAGACACCTTTAGAGTGGCAGCATATTGGTTCTGATTCTTTTGTAAATGCTTTTTATATTTTTTATTTTGCCTTCCTTAATTCTAAATGTGCCTTAAAATATTCAGAAAAATTAGGCACAAAATTTTTGCAGGATGAGCAATAAGTTGGAATGTTCTTAAATTTTACTTTTAGTGGTATTCACAAGTATAGCTAATCTATTCTTCTTTGTTCAAGTGAAATGTAGCATATACGTTGATTAGGACACAACGCAATGATGGCAAAAAAAGATGAGCCATGTGTTGACCTCAATTTTTCGTGAGGTCTAGTATTTCTCGTAGGAGTTAGGATCTAGCCTTAGGGGTCTTCCTGCGACTATCTTAGAACCTTAAAAGTGGGACCCGCCTCGTTTTAGTTCGACCCGCTTCTGTCCCTTTCTGGAGTTTCGCGTGTGTGGTATCAACTTCTAGCACTTAGAAGGACGAAACCAACATGAGGAAACCCAAAAAGGGATTCCCTATAAGACCTTCCCGAGCCTTAGGGTGGCCTTCTGCACAATTCGCACTCCTACGCGCACTGGCTTCGCAATTCGGAGAGTCGACGTAGCCGATCGCCGCAATTCACATTGCCTCCGCTGTTACTTGTCGAATGCTCGAGTAAACCTTTTGGTACGATCGATCGCGGGTCAATATTTTGTGAAATTTGAATTTCGACGCGTTTTGACCCGATTGTCGACGACGTCGTCCGAGC